CGAACAGGTTTCGGTGGAGCTACTAAACTAAAACAGACTAGAAAGAAAGGGCCTGGCAATCTGTTTCTAAAAATCAGTCAATAAAAACCCTGTAGATTACCGTGGTCTGGGCTGACTCAACAGCAGCTAACAGCAGCCTAATGCCTTGGGGTGTGGGACCTGCCGTTAGCGCTTTTGAAAGCTCCCACCGAACTACTGAACTCCTGCTCTGAAGTTTCGACAATCTTGTACCCAAAGGCTCCAATTGATTGTAAGGCTGGAATGGTTTAAAGCTTGTGGAATTGTAGTCCCCCATTTATTGTGAAAGAGAATTCTAAAATATTCCTGAAAATGGATTTCTTCAGAAACAGAGACTAAGTAGCCCCAGGAAGAGTATGTAAATGAAGAAGAGGCATGATTGCCCAGTGGCCCCGGTAAAAGCCTCTTTCACTTCAGGTGTAGCTGAGAACAGAAACGTGGCAGACACCAGGTGGCCTGGGGAAAGTTCTGAGGCCAGTTTAAAAGGATGAGAGGAAGTATTGAAGGGCTGAGAGGGGAACCACGTTAAGCGTGGAAGTATTCTTAGACAGCTACTACCTCTAACTATCTAATATTTAATATTATTTTTAGAGGAAAAAAGGCATGATAAAATTGGCTAAAAAAAAATCAAAGCATCAAGGGAAACAAAAAGGGGATGCTCATAAAAAGGATGTTAATTTCAACAGTTACGAAATTGTGATGAATTCAGATATGGAAACACTGTTTCTTCATTGCTATAAAAATGAATAAAATATTATGGGAACAAATAGAATAATAAATGTGAGATTGCTTTATAAAAATAAGACTTCTTCAGATGGTTTGCTCTCGGCTACTAACTACGCAGTTTGAATCCACCCGGCAGCACCTTGGAAGAAAGGCTTGGCAATCTACTTGCAAAAGGTGACAGCCTTGAAAACGCTGTGGAGCAGTCTTACTCTGAGACACACATCGTCACCATGAGTCAGAATAAACTCAATGGCAGTGGGTTTTTTCCGGGTTAGGTAGACCTGTGTTGTTGTTAGGTGCTGTCAGGTGGATTCTGACTCATGACAATCCTGTGTGACACAGTAGAACGGTCCCATAGGGTTTCATAGGCTGTAATCTTTATGGGAGCGGATCACCAGGTCTTTCTCCCCCTGGGTGGATTCAAACTGACAACCTTTCTGTTAGCAGCCGAGAGGTTAACCAGTTCGCCACCAGAGTCCCTCTTATGCAGACCTATAATATACTTAAATATAAGGGAATTTTAGTCACCATCTCTCCCCTTCTCAGCCTGTCATCTTGAATTCAGGTTATCACTTAGAGTGACAGTCATAGAGGATGCTGAAAAGTGAAGGTCCTCCATCCATCCTGATCCATGGGAGGTCCACCCCTTTTCGTCTTTTGTCTTAGTTTTTACCATTTGATTGCTGGCAAGGCCTCTGCAGCAATGCCATAGCGCCCTCTGGGTAGCCAGCTTTCGAGGGTGTTCAAGCTCACTGATTTCGTGCTTACTCAGAGGTACAAGGATACGTTGTTATTTCCAGTTGCCTTCAAATGGATTCCGACTCATGGCCACCCCATGTGTTACAGAATAGAACTGCTCCATGGGGTTTTCAGGGCTGGGGCCTTTCGGAAGCAGATTAGCAGGCCTGTCTTTTGAGACGCCTCTGGGTGGTTTCGAACCACCAACGTTTCGCCTAGTAGTCGAGTGCTTAACCATTCGCGACACATACCAGATTCTTAAGGGACTTTTTCGGTACATTTTAAAAATTCTGCTGAGATTTAAACGGCTGTGTTACATAGGTGTTTTGGTTGTATGTACGTATGTAAATATGTGTACAGATTGCTGTGGATCTCTCCGGAGAGATGTGACTGGTTCTCCTTTATCTGCATAAGTATTATCCAGTTTAACCAGTTGCTATCAAGTCAGCTCCAACTCATGGCATCCCTATGCGTGTCAGATTAGAGCCGTTCCGTAGCGTTTTCAGGGGCTGATTTTTCAGAAGTAGATTGCCAGGTGCCTCTGAATGGACTCCAACCCTTCGGTTAGCAGCTGAGTGCATTAACCGTTAGTACCACCCAGGGAGTTCATTATCAAGTTAAGGTGTGTTTTATCCCAAATATATTCCTCCCAGCCTCCTAGCATGCCCTGGTTCTCCCT